AAGATGCACTAAGCTAAAGAACTGTGTCATAGTGGGTTGAACTGTTGGGCGACCCACATAGCTTGTTGTATTTGGCTAAGTGTACAAAGTAGTGAATTTACAGTTGTACATCTGCCGGTTCGAAACACACACACACACACACACACACACACACACACACACACACACACCACACACACACACACACACACCCCAGGAGCTCGGACTCGACCCCCGCAACCTCAACTAGGTGAGTACACACACACACACACACACACACACATTAACTTTCGTTTGTCTAAGCCTTCTTACTATGCAATCAGAGAACACTGTACCTTAACCAATCATCCTCTCACCTCTTGGGATTTCACAGTTCACACTTCAGCACCACAAGACTCGTCCTCATTATCTCATCATCTCGGAATCGCTTTATATAATAAGAATGAGGCCTCACCATAATTCTGCTTCATCTGTATTTCCAATTTATAAAGTGAGTTTAAACATTGTATGGGATAGGTAAAGTTTGTCATTTTTATATTCCTCTTCCATTTTTCATCCTAGTTATAATTTAGTTTAATGCAGATATATTTTAATATATCATTTAATATATCATGTACTGTTAATAAGGTTTGAAACTCTTCAGCGTGGCAACTGAAAATGAACGAAAGTGTCTTCTAAGGCTTTAATTCTTCGGTGTTTCTTACGTTTAAGATTCCTAAGATTAAGTCGGATGTATCTGGGTGAATTATAGCTAAGGAAAGACTAGAGGTAATGCTGAATGATCAGCTATGGAAGGAGAGAAGGGATTACAAGAGTATAATAAACATGTGTGTGTGTGTGTGTGTGTCTGTGTGTGTGTGTGTGTGTGGGTGTGTGTGTGTGTGTGTGTGTGTGTGTGTGTGTGTGTGTGTGTGTGTGTGTGTGTGTGTGTGTGTGTGTTAGTTACCATTCTGTCCTAGTCACATGTTGATTAGACACTAGGCCTATTGTGTGTGTGTGTGGGTGTGTGTGTGTGTGTGTGTGTTAGTTACCATTCTGTCCTAGTCACATGTTGATTAGACACTAGGCCTATTGTGTGTGTGTGTGTGTGTGTGTGTGTGTTAGTTACCATTCTGTCCTAGTCACATGTCGATTAGACACTAGGCCTATTGTGTGTGTGTGTGGGTGTGTACTCACTTAATTGTACTTATCTAATTGTGGTTGCAGGGGTCGAGACTCAGCTCCTGGCCCCGCCTCTTCACTGATCGCTACTAGGTCCTCTCTCTCTCTGCTCCCTGAGCTTTGTCATACCTCGTTTTAAAGTTACGTATGGTTCCTGCCTCCACGACATCACTTGTTAGGCTATTCCACTTCCTGACGACTCTATGACTGAAGAAATGCTTCCTAACATCTCTCTGACTCGTCTGAGTCTTCAGCTTCCAATTGTGACCCCTTGTTTCTGTGTCCCCTCTCTGGAACGTCCTGTCTCTGTCCACCTTATCTGTTCCACGCAGTATTTTGTATGTCGTTATCATGTCTCCCATGACCATCCAGTCCTCCAGTGTCGTCAGGCAGATTTTCCTTCAACCTTTCTTTGTAAGACATTCCCTTGAACTCCGGAACTAGCCTTGTTGCAAACCTTTGTACTTTCTCTAATTTCTTGAAGTGCTTGACCAGGTGTGGGTTTCAAATCGGTGCTGCATACTTCGGTATGGGCCTGAATGCTATTCTCAGGTTTGCCAGGCGCCCATATGCTACAGCAGTTATCTGGTTGATGTGTGCCTCTGGAGACGTGCTCGGTGTTATGGTCACCCCTAAATCTTTCTCCTTAAGTGAGGTTTGCAATCTTTGTCAGCCTAGCCTTTACTCAGTCTGCGGTCTTCTTTGCCCTTCCCCAATGTTCATGACTTTGCATTTGGCGGGGTTGAATTCGAGAAGCCAGTTGCTGGACCACGTGTGCAGCCTGTCCAAGTCTCTTTGTAGTCCTGCCTAATCCTCATCTGATTTAATTCTCCTCATTAACTTCACATCATCTGCGAACAGGGACACCTCAAAGTCTATCCCTTCCATCATGTCATTCACATTCACCAAAAATAGCACTGGTCCTAGGACTGACCCCTGTGGGACCCCGCTCGTCACAGGCGCCCACTGTAATACCTCATCACGTACCACTCGTTGTTGCCTCCCTGGCAGGTATTCTCTGATCCACTGCAGTGCTCTTCCTGTTATACGCGCCTGATCCTCCAGCTTCTGTACTAATCTCTTGTGAGGAACCACGTCGAAGGCCTTCCTGCAGTCCTGGAAAACGCAATCAACCCACCCTTTTCTCTCGTGTCTTACTTCTGTTACTTTGTCATTAAACCCCAGAAGGTTTGTGACACAGGATTTGCCTTCCATGATTCCGTGCTCTGTGTACTCACCTATTTGTACTCACCTATTTGTGGCTGCATGGGTCGAGTCTTAGCTCCTGGCCCCGCCTCTTCACCGGTTGCTACTGGGTCCTCTCTCTCCCCGCTCCATGAGCTTTATCAAACCTCGTCTTAAAATTATGTATGGTTCCTGTATCCACTACATCACTTTCTAGGCTATTCCAATGCCTGACAACTCTATGACTGAAGAAATACTTCCTAATATCTCTCTGACTCATCTGTGTCTTTAACTTCCAATTGTGACCTCTTGTTTCTGTGTCCTCTCCCTGGAACATCCTGTCTTTGTCCACCTTGTTTATTCTGCGCAGTATTTTATATGTCGTTAACATGTCTCCCCTGACCCTCCTGCCCTCTAATGTCGTCAGGCCGATTTCCCTTAACCTTTCTTATACCTGGAGGTTACCTGGAGGTTATTCCGGGGATCAACGCCCCCGCGGCCCGGTCCATGACCAGGCCTCCCGATGGATCAGGGCCTGATCAACTAGGCTGTTACTGCTGGCCGCACGCAGTCCAACTTACGAGCCACAGCCCGGCTGATCCGGCACTGACTTTAGGTATCTGTCCAGCTCTCTCTTGAAGGCAGCCAGGGGTTTATTGGCAATTCCCCTAATGCTTGATGGGAGGCTGTTAAACAGTTTTGGTTCCCGGACACTTATGGTGTTTTCCCTTAGTGTACCAATGGCGTCCCTACTTTTTATTGGGGGCATTTTGCATCGCCTGCCCAGTCTTTTACTTTCGTAGGGAGTGATTTCTGTGTGCAGATTTGGGACTATTCCTTCCAAGATTTTCCAAGTGTAGATTATGATATATCTCTCCCTCCTGCGTTCCAACGAGTACAAGTCAAGTGCTTCCAAGCGTTCCCAGTAGTCAAGGTGCTTGACAGAACTTATACGTGCAGTAAAGGATCTCTGTACACTCTCTAGATCTGCGATTTCACCTGCTTTGAATGGAGATGTTAATGTACAGCAGTATTCCAGCCTAGAGAGAACAAGTGATTTGAAAAGGATCATCATGGGCTTGGCATCTCTCGTTTTGAAAGTTCTCATTATCCATCCATTTCATTTTCTTTGCACGTGCGATCGTGGCACTGTTGTGATCCTTGAAAGTGAGATCCTCAGACATTACTACTCCCAGGTCCCTTACATTAGTTTTCCGCTCTATTTTATGGCCGGAGTTAGTAGTATACTCTGTTCTAGTTATTATCTCCTCCAGTTTTCCATAACGGAGTAGTTGGAATTTGTCCTCATTGAACATCATATTGTTTACCGTTGCCCATTGGAAAACTTTGTTTATATCTTCTTGGAGATTAACCGCGTCCTCAGCAGATGACAGCCTCATGCAGATCCTAGTATCATCCGCAAAGGATGATACGGTGCTGTGGTGTATATCTCTGTTTATGTCTGATATGAGGATAAGGAATAAGATGGGGGCGAGTACTGTGCCTTGTGGAACAGAGCTCTTCACTATGGCAGCCTCCGATTTAACTCTGTTGACCACTACTCTTTGTGTTCGATTTGTTAGGAAGTTGAAGATCCATCTCCCCACTTTCCCAGTTATTCCTTTAGCACGTATTTTATGGGCTATTACGCCATGATCGCATTTGTCAAATGCTTTTGCAAAGTCTGTGTATATTACATCTGCATTCTGATTTTCTTCCAGTGCATCCAAGGCCATGTCATAGTGATCCAGTAATTGTGAGGGGCGGGAGCGACCTGCCCTGAACCCATGTTGCCCTGGATTGTGCAGATTTTGGGAATCCAGGTGATTTGCAATCCTGCTTCTTAGCATTCCCCTTAGCTCTGGAACTGACCTTGTCCCAAACCTTTCCACTTTCTCTAGTTCCTTGACGTGCTTTATCAAGTGTGGGTTCCAAACAGGTGCTGCATACTCCAATATGGGCCTGACGTACACGGTGTACAGTGGTTGATGTGTGCTTCCGGAGACATGCTCGGTGTTATACTCACTCCAAGATCTTCCCCCTTGAGCGAGGTTTGCAGTCTATGGCCACCTAGCCTATACTCTGTTTGCGGTCTTCTGTGTGTGTGTGTGTGTGTGTGTGTGTGTGTGTGTGTGTGTGTGTGTGTGTGTGTGTGTGTGTGTGTGTGTGTGTGTGTGTGTGTGTGTGTTTGTGTGTAGTGTAGTGTTCGAGAAAAACCCTTGGATAATTAACAAATGTCAGCCCCAAGAAGCATGATAAATTAAGGGTTAATGAGAGAGTATACTACTATATACCCATACATCAGTTGGGAGGTCGTAGAGCAATGAGTGTTGGAAGTCACTGAATGAGGTAAATTGCCAATAATGATTGATTTGTGATATAAACGGAAAGGGGTAAACGTTATGCAGGCCCGAAGTCAAACACAAAGGAGAGTGACTGGTGCCTCCTGGCTACAAGCAATGACATGACCAATCGATTCTGTAAGGGCTAGCAGTTCAGCTATGTAATAACCATTAGAAGGTCACCGCACTGTGTCTCTGGTGAATGACCAAGATCTAGGGATCTACAGCAGGCGCAGCGAGGCCAGCTGAGTAGCAGAGTATAAAGACTAGCGAGTGAAGGTTCGTACATCATCCACCGCCAGCCCACCGGCCCAGCAACACTTACCCACCGTCATGAGAGCTCTGGTGAGTGCCCCTTGTATACCTGCCTACTGCTTCACTACGCTATTGTCTGTCATGTAATTTCAACACTTCTCTTGTACTCTTTATTCTTGTACTATTTATTTTTTCTTTATTCATGAGATAAAATTAAATTTCTAAGTTTTTTGGATAATTTGTACCAAATTTAGTAAAAGTTTCAATTATAGTAAGCTCTTACATATTATTCTAAAGATTCTCTTTTGTTATTCTTATTTTGCAACACTCGTTAACAAACAAATGTTTAATTATTTATTATTATAATCAAAAAGAAGCGCTAAGCCACAAGGGCTATACAGCACTGCAGGGTAGGGAAGGAAGCGAGGGTATTGGATGGCAGAAGGGAGGAGGGATGATCAGTAGGTTACAGAAAACAGCGGGGCAGGGGATAGTACGGGGGTAGAGGGTAGCAAGAGATTGAAGTAGAAAGGGCTGAAGGTATCAGAATTTGTGAAGTAAGTCAGTTGTTGTCAAAAAGTCAATGAGAGAGTCTGGATGAAAGGTGGGTCCATCAGCGAGAAGGGAAGGTAAAGAGAGAGCAGCAGAGCGAAGACGACGACGGAGGTAAATTCTGCGTGCTCGTTGATAAAGTGGGCAGTCCAACAGAATGTGGCTGACAGATAATGGAACTTGGCAATTCTCACAGAGAGGATCAGGGCCCTCTCCATGAGATATCCATGAGTAAGACGAGTATGGCCAATGCGAAGACGGAGAGAGTAGTCTCCCAACCTCGACACTGGTGATAAGAAGACGGCCAGTAACCTATACTCGGTTTAATAGATTAAAGTTTGTTGCCGAGCATAGTAGACCAACGTTGTTGCCAACGGGTGTGAAGTTGGGAAGATATTGCAGCAAAATAGTCCGTAAATGGAATACCTCTACATGAAACTGGTAGGTCATGTACTGCTGACGCGCAGCGTGTCTGCCTGTTCATTGCCCTGTACGTCAACATGACCAGGGACCCAACAAAAAACAATATCTTTATGCTTGGTAAAGATGCGGCGTAGCCAAGGTTGGATACGGAGGACTAATGGGTGAGGTGTATCAAATTTCTGTATAGCATGTAAAGCACTAAGGGAGTCTGAGACAACCACAAATGATGACACAGGCATAGACGCAATACGGATAAGTGCTGTAAGGATGGCATACAATTCAGCAGTAAAAATACTAGCCGAAGATAGTAAATGCCCTTGTACGACGCTGTCCGGAAACTCTGCTGCGAATCCTACGCCGTCAGAAGACTTAGAGCATCTGTGTACACAGCAATGGCATGAGAATGAGAGTGAAAGTGGTCAAGAAAAAGAGAGCGGGAAGCGACCGTAGACAGTTGGGCTTTCGAGCAAGGGAGAGAGAAAGAACAGACTCGGACAGCTGGAACTTCCCAGGGGGGTAGGGAAAAGTGAGATGCTACATGTACATAGAAAGGTGATAATTGAAGAGTAGACAAGAGCGAATGAAGGCGAAGAGAGAAGGGACGAACAAATGTTTAAACATATTAAAAATGGCAGATTCTGTTTAATAACACTAAAGGACTTTTTTTACTATATCCCTAACTTGTAAAATTAAATTTACTGAGATAGAATCTTACACATATTATAAATATTACATCTGGCATACGAGGGAACGGATAATTTTTTTTTTTCAAATTAAATTTTTTTTTACTAACTAAAGGGGATCACTGATCACATAACGTTAAAACAGATGTTGTAATAATAATAAAGCTAATGTAACCAAAGATAAAATATGCATTAAAGATATGATGAACAATACAATAAATAAATTATCCATGAAAAAAAATATATGGCTACTAAGATTTCATGCTGTCTTCTGTCAGATCATCATCGTCTTGCTGGCTGCCTTGGTGGCAGCAGAGCAACATAAACGTGAGGCTGAGCCCGGCTATGTCGTCAGCTACGGGCATGGTGGCCGTGGACGTGGCTTCGGCGGATTTGGACACGGCTTCGGAGGCCATGGACACGGTTTCGGAGGCCACGGACTAGGTTTTGGAGGTCACGGTTTCGGAGGCTATGGACATGGTTTCGGAGGCTTTGGACATGGTTTCGGAGGCCATGGACATGGTTTTGGAGGCCATGGATTTGGCTTTGGAGGCCACGGACACGGCCTCAGAGGCTACGGTGGATATGGTCGTGGTTATGGTTACGGTCGTTAATTTTTCCATAACATTTTACCTATGTACCTCGAACTTCTAATAAACATTATTTATGCAACATCAAATAAATGCATTTTTATTTATATTAAAATCCTCTCCTGTAATACAACTCAATATGAGTGTTATTAAAGAAGGAATTTAAAAATTATTATTTTAAAGGTATCTGCGGTAAATTTCCACTGCACTGAAATGCTACATTCATTCAATACGAATTCTGAGCACTTTAGTGTTATGATTTGTCACTGCCTGTTGCTGATTTCCAGATGTAGCCGCTACACACCTTCCAATTTAATCATTTTCAGACAGCTTATCACTTAAAACCCTTTGTGGTGTGGAAGTTGAAGGGTTGGGCAAGTAATTCCATTACATGACCTACGTCAACTCGTGGGTGACACCCGCCTGTGACGTTAGCTGCAGCTGATTCGTCTCACCTCTACTTTAGTAGACAAGGTCTGGCCTCATACTTTAGGCTTAAGGGATTAACCACCAAATAACAAGAGTATCTGATTGATAACGTTAAAGATACTTCTGCTTTCAGAATTCTACTAGATACTGAATTCGACTGAAGAAGCCTGTTGTGTAGGCTGCACGTTTCGGCAAGATACCCAACTGTTGCTAATTTGTCTCATTCGTCAACTGTCTGTATTATATACTATAATATGAAAATTACATCACAGTCAGACCGATGTAATATATTTTTTATTATTATTATTAATAACACATCGGCCGATTCCCACCAAGGCAGGGTGGCCAGAAAAAGAAAAACTTTCATCATCATCATTCACTCCATCACTGTCTTGCCAGAGGGGTGCTTTACACTACAGTTATAAAACTGCAACATTAACACCCCTCCTTCGGAGTCCAGACACTGTACTTCCCATCTCCAGGACTTAAGTCCGGCCTGCCTGTTTCCCTGAATCCCTACATAAATGATACTATGCAATCAGAGAACACTGTACCTTAACCAATCATCCTCTCACCTCTTGGGATTTCACAGTTCACACTTCAGCACCACAAGACTCGTCCTCATTATCTCATCATCTCGGAATCGCTTTATATAATAAGAATGAGGCCTCACCATAATTCTGCTTCATCTGTATTTCCAATTTATAAAGTGAGTTTAAACATTGTATGGGATAGGTAAAGTTTGTCATTTTTATATTCCTCTTCCATTTTTCATCCTAGTTATAATTTAGTTTAATGCAGATATATTTTAATACATCATTTAATATATCATGTACTGTTAATAAGGTTTGAAACTCTTCAGCGTGGCAAATGAAAATGAACGAAGGTGTCTTCTAAGGCTTTAATTCTTCGGTGTTTCTTACGTTTAAGATTCCTAAGATTAAGTCGGATGTATCTGGGTGAATTATAGCTAAGGAAAGACTAGAGGTAATGCTGAATGATCAGCTATGGAAGGAGAGAAGGGATTACAAGAGTATAATAAACAGTGTGGTGTGTGTGTGTGTGTGTGTGTGTGTGTGTGTGTTAGTTACCATTCTGTCCTAGTCACATGTCGATTAGACACTAGGCCTATTGTGTGTGTGTGGGTGTGTACTCACTTAATTGTACTTGTCTAATTGTGGTTGCAGGGGTCGAGACTCAGCTCGTGGCCCCGCCTCTTCACTGATCGCTACTAGGTCCTCTCTCTCTCTGCTCCCTGAGCTTTGTCATACCTCGTTTTAAAGCTACATATGCTTCCTGCCTCCACGACATCACTTGTTAGGTTATTCCACTTCCTGACGACTCTATGACTGAAGAAATACTTCCTAAGATCTCTCTGACTCGTCTGAGTCTTCAGCTTCCAATTGTGACCCCTTGTTTCTGTGTCCCCTCTCTGGAACGTCCTGTCTCTGTCCACCTTATCTGTTCCAAGCAGTATTTTGCATGTCGTTATCATGTCTCCCCTGACCATCCAGTCCTTCAGTGTCGTCAGGCAGATTTCCCTTCAACCTTTCTTCGTAGGACATTTCCCTGAACTCCGGAACTAGCCTTGTTGCAAACCTTTGTACTTTCTCTAATTTCTTGAACTGCTTGACCAAGGTGTGGGTTTCAAATCGGTGCTGCATACTTCGGTATGGGCCTGAATGCTATTCTCAGGTTGCCAGGCGCCCATATGCTGCAGCAGTTATCTGGTTGATGTGTGCCTCTGGAGACGTGCTCGGTGTTATGGTCACCCCTAGATCTTTCTCCTTAAGTGAGGTTTGCAGTCTTTGTCAGCCTAGCCTTTACTCTGTCTGCGGTCTTCTTTGCCCTTCCCCAATGTTCATGACTTTGCATTTGGCGGGGTTGAATTCGAGAAGCCAGTTGCTGGACCACGTGTGCAGCCTGTCCAAGTCTCTTTGTAGTCCTGCCTAATCCTCATCTGATTTAATTCTCCTCATTAACTTCACATCATCTGCGAACAGAGACACCTCAAAGTCTATCCCTTCCATCATGTCATTCACATTCACCAAAAATAGCACTGGTCCTAGGACTGACCCCTGTGGGACCCCGCTCGTCACAGGCGCCCACTGTGATACCTCATCACGTACCACTCGTTGTTGCCTCCCTGGCAGGTATTCTCTGATCCACTGCAGTGCCCTTCCTGTTATACGCGCCTGATCCTCCAGCTTCTGTACTAATTTCTTGTGAGGAACCATGTCGAAGGCCTTCCTGCAGTCCTGGAAAATGCAATCAACCCATCCTTTTCTCTCGTGTCTTAATTCTGTTACTCTGTCATTAAACTCCAGAAGGCTTGTGACACAGGATTTGCCTTCCATGATTCCGTGCTCTGTGTACTCACTTATTTGTACTCGCCTATTTGTGGCTGCAGGGGTCGAGTCTTAGCTCCTGATCCCGCCTCTTCACCGGTTGCTACTGGGTCCTCTCTCTCCCCGCTCCATGAGTTTTATCAAACCTCGTCTTAAAACTATGTATGGTTCCTGCCTCCACTACATCACTTTCTAGGCTATTCCACTGCCTGACAACTCTATGACTGAAGAAATACTTCCTAACATCTCTCTGACTCATCTGTGTCTTCAACTTCCAATTGTGACCACTTGTTTCTGTGTCCCCTCCCTGGAACATCCTGTCTTTGTCCACCTTGTTTATTCTGCGCAGTATTTTATATGTCGTTATCATGTCTCCCCTGACCCTCCTGTCCTCTAATGTCGTCAGGCCGATTTCCCTTAACCTTTCTTATAAGACATTCCCCTTAGCTCTGGAACTGACCTTGTCGCAAACCTTTCCACTTTCTCTAGTTTCTTGACGAACTTTATCAAGTGCGGGTTCCAAACAGGTGCTGCATACTCCAATATGGGCCTGACGTACAAGGTGTACAGTGTCTTGAAAGATTCCTTATTAAGGTATCGCAACGCTGTTCTCAGGTTTGCCAGGCGCCCATGTGCTGGAGCAGTTACCTGGTTGATGTGTGCTTCCGGAGATATGCTTGGTGTTATATTCACTCCAAGATCTTTCCCCTTGAGCGAGGTTTGCAGTCTTTGGCCACCTAGCCTATAATCTGTTTGCGGTCTTCTGTGTGTGTGTGTGTGTGTGTGTGTGTGTGTGTGTGTGTGTGAGTGTGTGTGTGTGTGTGTGAGTGTGTGTGTGTGTGTGTGTGTGTGTGTGTGTGTGTGTGTGTGTGTGTGTGTGTGTGTGTGTGTACTCACCTATTTGTGGTTGCAGGGGTCGAGTCCTAGCTCCTGGCCCCGCCTCTTCACCGGTTGCTACTAGGCCCTCTCTCTCCCCGCTCCATGAGCTTTATCAAACCTCGTCTTAAAACTGTGTATGGTTCCTGCCTCCACTATGTCATTTTCTAGGCTATTCCACTGCCTTACAACTCTATGACTGAAGAAATACTTCCTACTATCTCTCTGACTCATTTGTGTCTTCAACTTCCAATTGTGGCCTCTTGTTTCTGTGTCCCCTCCCTGGAACATCCTGTCTTTGTCCACCTTGTCTATTCACGCAGTATTTTATATGTCGTTATCATGTCTCCCCTGACCCTCCTGTCCTCCAGTGTCGTCAGGCCGATTTCCCCTTAATCTTTCTTCATAGGACATCCCCCTTAGCTCTGGAACTAACCTTGTCGCAAACCTTTGTACTTTCTCTAGTTTCTTGACGTGCTTTATCAAGTGCGGGTTCCAAACAGGTGCTGCATACTCCAGTATGGGCCTGACATACACGGTGTACAGTGTCTTGAATGATTCCTTACTAAGGTATCGGAATGCTGTTCTCAGGTTTGCCAGGCGCCCATATGCTGCAGTAGTTATCTGATTGATGTGTGCTTCCGGAGACATGCTCGGTGTTATACTCACCCCAAGATCTTTCTCCTTGAGTGAGGTTTGCAGTCTTTGGCCACCTAGCCTATACTCTGTCTGTGGTCTTCTGTGCCCTTCCCCTATCTTCATGACTTTGCATTTGGCAGGAATTAAATTCGAGAAGCCATTTGCTGGACCAGGTGTCCAGTCTGTCCAGGTCTCTTTGAAGTCCTGCCTGGTCCTCATCAGATTTAATTCTCCTCATTAACTTCACATCATCTGCAAACAGGGACACTTCTGAGTCTAACCCTTCCGTCATGTCGTTCACATATACCAAAAATAGCACTGGTCCTAGGACCGACCCCTGGGGGGACCCCGCTCGTCACAGGTGCCCACTGTGATACATCATTACGTACCATGACTCGTTGTTGCCTCCCTGTCAGGTATTCTCTGATCCATTGCAGTGCCCTTCCTGTTATATGCGCCTGATGCTCTAGCTTCTGCACTAATCTCTTGTGAGGAACTGTCTCAAAGGCCTTCTTGCAGTCCAAAAGATGCAATCAACCCACCCCTCTCTCTCTTGTCTTGCTTCTGTTATTTTATCATAAAACTCCAGAAGGTTTGTGACACAGGATTTGCCTTCCGTGAATCCGTGCTGGTTGGCATTTATACTCCTGTTCCGTTCCAGGTGCTCCACACTCTCCTCCTGATAATCTTCTCCATAATTTTGCATACTATACACGTCAATGACACAGGTCTATAGTTTAGTGCCTCTTTTCTGTCTCCTTTTTTGAAAATGGGAACTACATTTGCCGTCTTCCATACCTCAGGTAGTTGCCCAGTTTCCAGGGATGTGTTGAAGATTGTGGTAAGTGGCACGCACAACATATCTGCTCCCTCTCTAAGGACCACGGAGAGATGTTGTCCGGTCCCATTGCCTTTGAGGTATCGATGTCCCTTAGCAGTTTCTTCACCTCCTCCTCATCTGTATGTATGTCGTCCAACACTTGTTGGTGTATTGCTTGCTGGTGTCCCCATCTGGTCTGTTCCCCCAGAGTCCTTCCTGTCTCTACTTTTAAAATACTTCCTTAAATCTCGTGTTGAGCTCCTCACATACCTCTTGATCGTTTCTTGTGAGTTCTCCACCTTCTTTCCTCAGCCTTATCACCTGGTCCTTGACTGTTGTCTTCCTCCTAATGTGGCTATACAGCAGTTTCGGGTCAGATTTGACTTTCGATGCTATGTCGTTTTCATACTGTCGCTGGGCCTCCCTCCTTATCTGCGCATACTCGTTTCTGGCTCTTCTACTAATCTCCTTGTTTTCCTGGTCCTATGCCTCCTGTACCTTTTCCATTCTCTGTTGCACTTAGTTTTTGCCTCCCTACTCCTTCGGGTAAACCAAGGACTCGTTTTGGTCTTCCTATTATTTCTGTTTCCCTTGGGAACAAAACTTTCCTCTGCCTCCTTGCACTTTGTTGCCACATATTCCATCATCTCGTTTACTGATTTTCCTACCCTTTCTCTGTCCCACTGAACCTCCTGCAGGAAGTTTCTCATACCTGTGTAGTCCCCCCTTTTATAGTTTGGCCTGTCCACTTCAGTTCCTGTTACCTTCTCCACTTGTAACTCTACTATATAGTCAAAACCACGTGATCACTAGCTCCAAGGGGCCTCTCGTAAGTGATGTCCTCAATGTCTGAACTGCTCAGGGTGAACACAAGATCCAGTCTTGCTGGCTCATCCTCCCCTCTCTCTCTGGTTGTGTCCCTGACATGTTGATGCATGAGGTTTTCAAGTACCACATCCATCATCTTGGCTCTTCATGTTTCGGGACCCCCATGTGGCTCCAGGTTTTCCCAGTCGATCTCCCTGTGGTTGAAATCGCCCATTACCAGTAACTTTGCTCTGCTCGAGTGAGCTCTTCTTGCCACCTCAGCCAGTGTGTCCACCATCACCCTGTTGTTTTCTTCGTACTCCTCTCTTGGCCTCCTGCAGTTCTGTGGTGGGTTATACATCACTCCAATGACTACTTTATGTTCTCCGGACTGAATTGTACCTACAATGTAGTCTCTTTCTCCAATCATGTCCATGCCTTCCATTTCCTCAAATCCCATTGGTGTTTTATGAGCAGTGCAACCCCTCCTCCCCCTCTACTCCTTCTATCTTTCCTCAGGATCTGATATCCTGTTGGGAAGATTGTGTCTGTTATTGTCTCAGCGAGTTTTGTTTCTGTGACTGCTATGATGTCTGGGGATTTTTCACTGATTCTTTCATTCCACTCCTCATGTTTATTCGTTATTCCATCCGTGTTTGTGTACCAAACCTTTAGTTTCTTTTCTATCATTGTGGTCATGCAAGAATATTGGGGTTGGGGGAGCGAGAGCCTTGGTGGGGGCCTACATGGGGCTGTGGTGTAGGTGGGGTTTGTGTTGATGGGGGTGGGGTCAGAATGCCCATAAGGAACAGCTGTTGGGGTGAGGTTTGTGATATGGGGGTTGGTGGCAGAGGGAACAGTGAGTGGGTTGTAGTATAGGTTGCTCAGTTGCATTGGGAATGTCGCGGGTGGAGTCTTTTGGTGGGAGATTCTGTGGGGTGTGTTTGCCCTTCCTCCTGTGTCTGGGTCCTGCTCATTTTCATTGCTTCTCGTTCCTCCTTGCGTCTCTGTACCCTCTCTTTCAGTGTAGTCCTTTCTTCTTGTGTTCTGTCGCGGTCGAGGTATACTCTCTGGTACCCCTCTTTGTCCCTCAGTCTTGCTTTCTCTTGCAGAATCCTGGTTCGAACTGATTCTTCCTTGAAAGTTACTCTGACAGGCCGTATCCTTCCACTCGCAAACCACCCAATTCTCTGAAAATTTGTCACCTGGGTCATATTGCCCTCCCTATTGTTTTCATGATGCCTTCAATCATTTTTTTCTCCTCCTGTTTTATTTCTTCAAAGTTGGCCCCCTTGGCTTCTTGGAGCCCGTACACAAAAACTAACCTCGCCCTTTCCTCCTCCCACTGAGTCTCCATCTGCTTCCTCTGAGGCATTTTATTTCCTTCCATTGACATGTTCTTGCCTTCAGTCCCTGTCATATCTGAAACTTCTATTCTCAGTTAACTGTCTTTCCTGACCAGCTGTCCCTTGCTACTGCAGTTGGCTGTTAGAATCTCTGCATATAGCAAACCTTCATTGTCTTCGGACCTGTCGTTTGATCTTAGTGTGCTCATCGTCTTTTCCCTGGCCCCACGTGGGTCTGGTAGGGCCTTCGTGTACGGCATGTCTCCGTTGTTGCTTACCATCCCCTTGTCTGCGCGTGACTTTGAATTTCCTGATGTCACATCTGAATTGTCATTTGTCTCTCTAATCTGTTTCAGGCTTTGCAGTTTCTGTGTGTGTGTGTGTGTGTGTGTGTGTGTGTGTGTGTGTGTGTGTGTGTGTGTGTGTGTGTTTGTGTGTAGTGTAGTGTTCGAGAAAAACCCTTGGATAATTAACAAATGTCAGCCCCAAGAAGCATGATAAATTAAGGGTTAATGAGAGAGTATACTACTATATACCCATACATTAGTTGGGAGGTCGTAGAGCAATGAGTGTTGGAAGTCACTGAATGAGGTAAATTGCCAATAATGATTAGTAAGTAAGTAAGTAAGTAAGTTTATTCAGGTATACACAAATACAGTTACATAGAATTATCATACATAGCAGCATATGTGTAGAGAACCTAGGATAACCCAAAAAAGTCAGACAGAGTGACTTATTTCCATTGGGGTCCTTGATGGATTTGTGATATAAACGGAAAGGGGTGAACGTTATGCAGGCCCGAAGTCAAACACAAGAGAGAGTGACTGGTGCCTCCTGGCTACAAGCAATGGCATGACCAATCGATTCTGTAAGGGCTAACAGTTCAGCTGTGTAATAACCATTAGAAGGTCACCGCACTGTGTCTCTGGTGAATGACCAAGATCTAGGGATCTACAGCAGGCGCAGCGAGGCCAGCTGAGTAGCAGAGTATAAAGACTAGCGAGTGAAGGTTCCTACATCATCCACCGCCAGCCCACCGGCCCAGCAACACTTACCCACCGTCATGAGAGCTCTGGTGAGTGCCCCTTGTATACCTGCCTACTGCTTCACTACGCTATTGTCTGTCATGTAATTTCAACACTTCTCTTGTACTCTTTATTCATGTACTATTTATTTTTTCTTTATTCATGAGACAAAATTAAATTTCTAAGTTTTTTGGATAATTTGTACCAAATTTAGTAAAAGTTTCAATTATGGTAAGCTCTTACATATTATTCTAGAGATTCTCTTTTGTTATTCTTATTTTGCAACACTCATTAACAAACAAATGTTTAAACATATTAAAAATGGCAGATTCTGTTTAATAACACTAAAGGATTTTTTTTACTATATTCCTAACTTGCAAAATTAAATTTACTGAGATAGAATCTTACACATATTATTAAATATTACATCTGGCATACGAGGGAACGGATAATTTTTTTTTCAAATTAAATTTTTTTTTTTACTAACTAAAGGGGATCACTGATCACATAACGTAAAAACAGATGTTGTCATAATAATAAAGCTAATGTAACCAAAGATAAAATATGCATTAAAGATATGATGAACAATACAATAAATAAATTATCCATGAAAAAAAATATATGGCTACTAAGATTTCATGCTGTCTTCTGTCAGATCATCATCGTCTTGCTGGCTGCCTTGGTGGCAGCAGAGCAACATAAGCGTGAGGCTGAGCCCGGCTATGTCGTCAGCTACGGGCATGGTGGCCGTGGACGTGGCTTCGGCGGATTTGGACACGGCTTCGGAGGCCATGGACATGGTTTCGGAGGCCACGGACTAGGTTTTGGAGGTCACGGTTTCGGAGGCTATGGACATGGTTTCGGAGGCTTTGGACATGGTTTCGGAGGCCATGGACATGGTTTAGGAGGCCATGGATTTGGCTTTGGAGGCCACGGACACGGCCTCAGAGGCTACGGTGGATATGGTCGTGGTTATGGTTACGGTCGTTAATTTTTCCATAACATTTTTCCCTATGTACCTCGAACTTTAATAAACATTATTTATGCAACATCAAATAAAATGCATTTTATTTAATATTAAATCCTCTCCTGTAATACAACTCAATATGAGTGTTATTAAAGAAGGAGTTTAAAAATTATTATTTTATAGGTATCTGGGGGTAAATTTCCACTGCACTGAAATGCTAATTCATTCAATACGAATTCTGAGCACTTATAGTGTTATGATTTGTCACTGCCTGTTGCTGATTTCCAGATGTAGCCGCTACACACCTTCCAATTAATCATTTTCAGACTGCTTATCACTTAAAACCCTTTGTGGTGTGGAAGTTGAAGGGTTGGGCAAGTAATTCCATTACATGACCTACTCAACTCGTGGGTGACACCCGCCTGTGACGTTAGCTGCAGCTGATTGTCTAAACCTTACTTTAGTAGACAAGGTCTGGCCTCATACTTTAGGCTTAAGGGTTTTAAACCACAAATAAAAGGTATCTGATTGATAACGTTAAAGATTCTTCTGCTTTCAAAATTCTACTAGATACTGAATTCGACTGAAGAACCCTGTTGTGTAGGCTGCACGTTTCGGCAAGATACCCAACTGTTGCTAATTTGCCCATTCGTCAACTGTCTGCATTTATACTATAATATAAAAATTGCATCACAGTCAGACCGATGTAATATTTTTTTTTTATTATTATTATTAATAACACTGGGCCCGATTCCCACCAAGGCAGGGTGGCCAGAAAAGAAAAACTTTCATATCATCTTTTCACTCCATCACTGTCTTGCCAGAGGGGTACTTTACACTACAGTTAAAAAAACTGCACATTAACACCCCTCTTCGGAGCCCGGGGACACTGTACTTCCCATCTCCAGGACTTAAGTCCGGCCTGCCTTTTTCCCCTGAATCCCTACATAAATGATACTTGCTCACACTCCACAGCACGTCAAGTATTAAAAACCATTTTTTCTCCATTCATTCCTATCAAATACGTTGGGCGCAAGCTTGCTGGAAGTCCAAGCCCCTCGCACACAAACCCTCCTTTACCCCCTCCCTCCAACCCTTTCCCAAGCCGACCCCTGCCCCGCCTTCCCTCCACTACAGATTTATACATTCTCCATGTTTATTCTGCTTTGTTTTTATTCTCTCTACATGTCCCAACCACCTCAACAACCCCTCCTCAGCCCTCTGGATAATAGTTTTGGTAATCCCACACCTTCTCCTAATTTCCGAACTACGAAATTCTCTGCATTATATTCACAATACACATTGCCCTCAGGCATGACATCTCCACTGCCTCCAGCCTTCTCCTCGCTGCAACATTCATCACCCTGCTTCACACCCATACTAGAGTGTTGGTACAACTATACTTCATACATTCCCCTTTTTGCTTCCACGGACAAAGTTTTTTTGTCTCCACAGACTCCAAAGTGCACAACTCCCCCCTTTTTCCCCTCATCTATTCTGTGATTCACCTCATCTTTCATAGACCCATCCGCTGACACGTCCACTCCTAAATATCTTAATACATTCACCTCCTCCATACTCTTCCCTCCAATTTGATATCCAGTCTCTTATCACCTAATCTTTTTGTTATCCTCATAACTTTATCTTTCCTATATTCACTTTGAATTTTCGTTTTTTACATACCCTACTAAATTCATCTACCAACCTCTGCAACTTCTCTTCAGAATCTCCCAAAAGCACCGTGTCATCAGCAAAGAGCAACTGTGACAACTCCCACCTTGTGTTTGATTCTTTATCTTTTAACTCCACACCTCTTGCCAAGACCCTAGAATTCACTTCTCTCACAACCCCATCTTTAAATATATTGAACAACCACGGTGACATCACACATTCTTGTCTAAGGCCTACTTTTACTGGGAAATAATTTCCCTCTCTCCTACATACTCTAAACTAAGCCTCACTATCCTCGTAAAAACTCTTCACTGTTTTCAGCAACCTACCCCTATACAATACACCTGCAGCATCTGCCATATTGCCCCTCTATTCACCCTGTCATATGCCTTTTCTAAATCCATAAATGCCACAAAATCCTCTTTACTCTTATCTAAATACTGTTCACCTATATGTTTCACTGTAAACACTTGGTCTACACACCCCCTACCTTTCCTAAAGCCTCCTTGTTCATCTGCTATCTTACTCTCTGTTTTACTCTTAATTCTTTCAATAGTAACTCTACCATACACTTTACCAGGTATACTCAACAGACTTATTCCACTATATTTTTTCCACTCTCTTTTATCCCCTTTGCCTTTATTTTATAAAAAGGAACTATGCATGCTCTCTGCCAATCCCTAGATACCTTACCCTCTGCCATACATTTATTAAATAATACCACCAACCACTCCATAACTATATTCCTTCCTGCTTTTAACATTTCTATCTTTATCTCATCAATCCCAGCTGCCTTACCCCCTTTCATTCTACCCACTGCCTCACGAACCTCCCCTCACTCACAACTGGCTATTCCTCACTCCTACAAGATGTTAATCCTCCTTGCCCTATACACGAAATCACAGTCTCCCTATCTTCATCAACATTTAACACTTCCTCAAAATATTCCCTCAACCTTCCCGATACCTGTAACTCTTCATTTAATAACTCTCCTCTCCTATTTTTAAACTGTCAAATCCATTTTTTCCCCTAGGCTTCCTTCAACTTATTAATCTCACTCCAAAACCCTTTTTCTTATTTTCAACAAAGTTTGTTGATAACACTCACCCACTCTCTCATTTGCTCTCTTTTTACATTGCTTTACCACTCTCTTAACCTCTCTTTTTCTCTCCATTACTCTTCCCTCCTCGTATCGCTTCTACTTTGTAAAAACCTCTCATATGCTAACTTTTTTTTCTTCCTTACTACTCTCCTTACATCATCCTTCCACCAATTGCTCTCCTTCCCTCCCACACCCACTTTCCTGAAACCCAAACAAATTCGCTGAACACTCTAACACTACATTTTAAAACTACCCATACATCTTCGACCCCATTGCCTATACTCTCACTAGCCCATCTATCCCCCAAATAGTTGTTTATATCTTACCCTAACTGCCTCCTCTTTTAGTTTATACCCCTTTCACCTCTCTATTACTTGCTGCTTCTATTTCCTTGTATCCCATCTACCTTTACTCTCACTGTAGCTACAACTAGAAAGTGATCTGATATGTCTCTGGCCCCTCTATAAACATGTACATCCTGAAGTCTACTCAACAGTTCTAATCTACTAATACGCAGCCCAACAAACTACAGTCATTACACCTACATCATATCTTGTATATTTATTTATCCTCTTTTTATTAAAAACGTATTACAGTGGTCCCTCGTTGTTCGTAATTAATCCGTTCCTGGAGCCTTTTACTATAAACGAAATTTACGATTTACGAATAATTTTCCCTTTAGAAATAATGTAAATACAATTATTCGTTCCTGACACCAGAAGTATTAAAACAAAAACATTTTTAACACGAAATATACATGTAGTACAAAAACAATACAATGGGAAGTGATGAATGAAACATTAACAGCAAAACCCTTACCTTTATTGGAGATTCTTTTTTAGTGTATGGGAGACGGGAGGAGGAGAGTGGATTGTTTATAGTTCGGAAGGGGAACCCCCTTCCATCAACACCTCAGGTTCCATTTGCTTTTGGGGTTGCTTCTCTTCTCTGTTTCTTAATGCCACTAGGACCACCTTGAGAGTCACTGGATTTCCTGTCTCACAAAATAACTGTGGAGAGAGCTCTGTTTCTGGCGTCTCTTTAACACTTCCCTAAAATGGTCCAAGACTTTGTCACTGTACATGTTGCCAACCTGGCTTGCAACAACCTTGTTAGGGTGATGTTTCTCCATAAAGTTTTCCCATCTTACCCCACATAGTAAAAATCTCTTTAATTTCTGAAGAGGCACCTTCTTCCATCTCTCTTCCTCCTCCTCTGCAGCAAGATTCTGAGCTGCGATGTGTTGCTCTTCCTGATGAAGCTCTTGCAGCCCCTCAGTGGTGAGCTCTTCATTGTCGTCTTCCACCAATTCTCCCCCCATCCCCCAAACTCACATCCAACCCCATGGAACTCCCAGTGCCACAACTGATTTTTACAACAGACATAGGCTCATTAGGGTCAGTCCCAAATTCTTCAAAATCCCTCTTGTCGACACAATCTGGCCACAATTTTCTCCAGGCAGAGTTCAAAAGTCCTGGTAGTCACTCCCTCCCAAGCCATACCTATAAGGGTTATGCAGTGGAGGATGTGAAGTGTTCTCTCCAAAATTCCCTTAGGGTCAAGTGAGTGTCTGTGGTCACTGTCAAGCACCTGTGAAACATTGCTTTTGTGTAGATTTTTTTAAAGTTTGCAATAACCTGCTGGTCCATGGGTTGGAGGAGAGGAGTGGTATTCGGGGCAAGAACTTTACTGTGATAACCCAAACTCCTCGAAAATTAGGTCATCCAAGTTTGGAGGATGAGCAGGTGCATTGTCCATTACTAGCAGGCACTTGAGATCCAATTTTTTTTCCAAGAGATACTCCTTCACACTAGGGCCAAACAATTTATTGAACCACTCGACGAAAATTTCCCTCGTGACCCATGCCTTACTATTAGATTTCCAAAACACACACAATTTACTCTTCATAACATTTTTTCCTGAACCACTCTGTGATTTTCAGAATGGTACACTAGTAATGGCTTCACTTTGAAATCCCCACTAGAATTAGCACAGAACATTAACGTCAGCCTGTCTTTCATAGGCTTGTGTCCTGGCATTGCCTTTTCCTCTTGTGTAATGAAGGGCCTCTTTGGCATTTTCTTCAAAAGAGGCCTGTTTCGTCACAATTGAGCACTTGTTCAGGTTTCAGTCCTTCAGCCTCTATGACTCCTGGAATTCAGCACATATTTTTCAGCCGCCTTGTGGTCCGAACTGGCAGCCTCACCATGCCTTACCACACTGTGTATGCCAGTACGGTTCTTAAATCTCT